TATCTATTTAATATTCATTAAATAAATAAATTGTCAATATATTTTTACTCGACTTACTTATATTTGATTGAATTGTGTCTGATTGTATTTCATAATCAATATCAAGAAGTTCAAAATCTGCTGAACGTCTTATAATCGTTATTCTATAAAAATTAATCTTGCTTAACAGTAACATAATATTAAAACTATTTACTTAGGTTTTTCTGATTTATGATCCATCATAAAATACACATGTGGTATATTATTTGTTTGTTCAGTTTGATAAAAGAAACATGAACGACTTGTATGACTTTGCTAATAAATTTTCATATACAAAAAAAAAACAAAGAAAATAAAGAACCTTTCGAATTTTTTATTATTACCAAAGATTCAGCAATACCACTATTCTTTGCTTTAGCAATACTAAATCCAAACTATAGGAAAAAAACAATCAAAATTTTGAAATGAATTGGTTATTCTTTCTTTTGTACTAACCAAACTATCTTTACCAACACCTGCTTTATCAAAAGTAAAATCTGTAACATTGATATTCATTGTACCACCACGAAGAAAACCAAATGTACTCAATAAAATTTGTTGACGATTGTCATCCTATAATTTTAAATATTGTATATAGTGAATAATAAAAAAGAAACAGAGACTTATTATTTACTTACAATTATATCAAGATTATGTATACGACAATTAACAAATGAGAATAAACAACAAACAATAAATAAGAAAGAAAGCATTTGTTGTTATCGACTAGGCAAATCTAAAAAATAAATATTTTGATTTTATCAACTTTTCAAGACATTAGACATTATCATATTCGTAAAATAGTTTTTTATATGAAGGAAACTCTACATTTAATATAATCAAACATAATAAACTAAAGATACTTATGACAAAATGTTACCTGTATTATACAAGCTACTTTGAAATTATAAGACAAAGTACCTTATGTTTATAACAAGTAATGCTTGTTTAGCAGAATCTCAGATTTGTCGAGTCATATTTCACAGTTCACAATACAATTATATTTATTTAAAAACAAAATTTCGCATAAGAAAATGTTTTAAGTATTCAATTAAAAATATCCATTGATAATATGAAACAAATTCATTAGAATAATGAGTTAAAATGACATGTTACACGTTGTTTACGATTTTACCGTATGTTAAAGTAGCCACTTGCATTTATTTTGATGAATAATCCATACTATATACAGAGTTGTCAATAGAAAATATAATTATACAAAAAAAAAAAAAAACTCTTCAAATTAATAAAAATAGAAATCTTTTTTCTGTCATTTGTTAACGACCATAAACGAAGGCATATTTCAATGAACTTCACATCACATAATCAATGAAGTAGAAGAATAATTTTTACTGATTCATTATTTTAACCAATCTAATAAAAACAAACATGACATCTATCATCCAATCAATATCTTTTCTCAAATCTATATTTTCAAAAAACTTTTATTTATATTTTATTTAACATACAATGGAAACTATAAAAGATTTAGCTTCACTTTCAGAAAATAATTTCATTCAAGTAATTGTTGATTAAATTTTACAAAACAAAAAGATTCCTTATTTTTGTTTTTATTTAGTTCCTACGACAAATTCTTGATGAATATTTTCATCGTCTTCCATCAACAAAACAAACAATCAATGTCGATTCAAAAATTCGTATACAACTTGAAGAACTTCTTCGAAGTACAAATCCATCATCAAACAAAGTATTATATAGTTATTATTTTTTAATACAATTCTTAATTCTTTCTTTCTTCTTTTTAGATTACAACAAATGATTTACCTCAACATTTACAAAAAGTTTATATAAATTTTGTAAATGATTATCGACATGATATCGAACGATATCATATTTATCAGGCTAGTCAATACATGGATGAATATCGTTTAAAAAATTTTGATTGGAATATTCGAGTAAAATAAGAAAAAAATTAAATATTATTTCATCTTGTTTTGTTTTTATCCTTCTCTTCTAGATTGCTCTTCATGATGAACATTTATTTAAATGTCGTTTACCACTTGTTAATCTTCAATTAGAATTAACAAATGAAAAAAATTCAAAAGATATTTTACTTGAACTTGATGAACAAGAATTAAATAGATTAATCGATGAGATGATGAAAATTGAACAAGTAATTTTTTAAAATTATTGTTTGTTTTTATTAATTAATTTTTGTTTAGACTATGAACAATAGCAATCTTCTCCTTTCACGATGATTATCTTTTTTCTAGTTCATTTTTTTTTTTTACTTTCACAGTGCAATAAAATAATATCTTCCATGATTCCTTTTTTTAAAAATTAAATTACATTATTTAAATATTAATTTGTATTTTCAAATAAGATATGTAAAAGAAATTTTTTTTAAAAGAAGATATATCAAAGTGTTCAGTAATTTGAAAAATTATTTATGAATAGTGAATTTAACTTAGTGTTCCTATGTATGAATATCCTGTGGAAGCGATTTTCCTTCACGTGAATTGGAAACCGGAGCTATATTGAAATATAGACATTTCCAAAAATCGTTTTGTTTTGTTTTACATATATAATCTACAAACTTTGCTCTTTGTCGCAGACAAGCCGATGCTACATTTTTGAGAAATAGATTTCGAAGTTTTTCATTAATTAAAAAACACATAACAAATACTTATCAATTAAATTTCGACCAGTTCATTCATTATTCATTGAATTATAATCTAAATTTCATCCTCGAAAGAACTATGATTCATATTATTTCACCATATAACATTATTATTATTTTCTTCGCTTGAATGATTTCGCTTTGACATTGGTGTTGTTGATGTGTTAGTATTGTTTTTTTTTACTTTTCAATTGTTCAATTGATGGAAAAAATAATTCTCCTAATTTAACATTGATAAATTTTGATGTATAAATAATACTTGATTTATTTTACTAAAATTTACTTTCAATGATAATTTTATTTTCAACTCAAGATCATTTCATTTTGCGCAAAGTGTGATGATGACAGAGGCTACTCCCTAGTAATGAGCGTTTTTTTCAAATAGGAGGAATAAAAGTATTATAAGAACTATCAAAACATTACGGAAACAAGAAACGAAAATCGAGAAAAAAGTCGTTCTCAAGGGATTCTATTATATATAAAGAAATGTATGACAATGAGTGTGTTGGATAGAATTGATAATTTTTCTTTTGTATATAACTGCCTGATTAATAACAGATAGATTGAAAAAAAATTCAATGTTGCATGTAGGCGAGAATTTTATTGATAACTTCAATATTTTGTTTGGTTCAACAATGAAACAGATTTGATATTAATATAGACTTTATTTTGAAAAACATCTAATTTAGTTTTGATTTGAATATTTAAAGAAATCAGGGAATACATTTTGTTGCAATGATATTTCCAAATAATAATAATAAGGAACATTTCTTCTAATCAAATTAAAAGATAAATTATTCTTTGAAATATTACCCAATATTGAAATCATGGTCTAGTTCTGATAAATAAAGTTTGGTCATTACGAATATTCCTTCTCAAACTATTATTCATTGATAGATATCCAAGTGAAAACTAATTCCATCGTATGCTTACTAAAGATGTGCAAAACGATCGTGAGAAAGATCGTTCATGACCCATAATAGAATTTGGGCAAGGTTTTTTTTCGATGTTCATCGAAAAAAATTTCTGCTTCTGTTGATGATTCTAGACTTCCAAAATAAGTAGATTTCGATGAAACCAGTAGAAATAACACAAAATAAGCAATGTTTTTGATAGAAAATGCTCACTATTGACACATCTTAGATGGAAAGTTCCGGCACTGAATGTTTTCGTATTTATCCATTGACTTCCGGTAGTCTTAGATGAAAAAGAACAAGAAGCTAGTCGGAAATCACGGAAAACATCGCAGACAATCTGGTCGGAAATACTACATCGAGGTTCCATCGATTACTGGAGTTATTCTAAAAGAATTGGTTTACACACTATCACCTTGAGGTTAATCGTCTGTCTTGTTCTTTTAGAATTGTAAATAGTCAATCAAACTTAGGTACTTTTGATGACATATAGTCCTTTTGAGTAGAGCCATGTAAAAGTCTTTGAAAAAAAATTAATATTGATTTCTTAGCAATGGAAAATTCTATCAATTCGGATTGGTTTGTGTTGTCTGAAAGAGTAAAATCTGAAAAGTACATACGTGAAAGAAAAAGAATTTTATCTAATAAATTCATAGTGCGCGCAAGTACTCTTTAGAATCATGTTAAATAAGCTTTGCAACTCTGTAAAACATTTATTTGGCGATTAATACTAGTCCAATACACACAAGACGTAAATAAAATACATTTTTCGACAAAACAAGAACAAAGTCAACGTCTGCGATGTATTCTGAAAAGTTATCATTCACTTCTTAAAAATTTTCTAAGACTAATATTTGTTTTTAGTTCACCATTTTCATCAAAACTGTATTCCATCCGAAGAGACACGATAAAAAAAAGAACTTTTCAATGAACAACCTAATCAAAACTCAACTCGAAAGAAATGATGCAAAAAAAATTGAAAAACTTTAGTCATGACTATGCTTATTTCAAACTTCGTCAGAAACAATATCGTAAACTCACCAACCAAAAGTACGAGTAAGTGAGATTGCAACCGTTCTGTCCACGGTCGCTTTCTTCTGGAATTTTTTTATGATAAATCGAAAGTAAAACTATTGTTCGAGTGTTAAGAAGTCATTTTTGGACATTTGTCCAGAAATCTTTGCATCGCTAATTACTCCTGTATTCACAAATCATGATTGCTTTTTATTTTTACTGCTGTCTATTAAACTAAACCAAATAACAATTTGCTGTGAAAAAATTATTTGCCACGTAATATGTAGGAAACGCTGTACAGATACAAGACTTTACGTTACTTACTGTTTTTCGTTCGAGCAGACTTTTCTGTAAACAAGTTTATTTTTCTAACTTAAAAAACATCTACAGAAAAAAGAATTTTTTTTTTCTAATCATGCTTTTTTTTTATCATTTTCGGTTTTTATCGTATGTAGAATTGAATTAATTTCTTCATTTAAATTTTGCTCATTTAATTTTTCTTTTGAATCTTTTCTTTTAAGTAGTTCTTGTTCAGATGAAATTTTCAACTCTGTTTTAAGTATAAAACTTCCATCTTGATCATCTCTTTCCAAAATACAATAACCACAATTATTAAAATTTTCTAATGTATGAAATCTTTCTACTGACCAACGATAAAAACGCATTAAAAATAATCTCATAAATAAACCATGACTAACAATTAATATGTTAGTATTTGGCATTAAATTACTATCCATTTCACGATATAAACTATCCATAAATAAACTAACACGATCATATACATCAGCACCGGATTCACCATTTCCAAATCGATAAAAGAATCGTCCAATTTTTTGTCTTTCAGCCACTGTTATTTCACGTTTTGCTAGATCTTGAAAATTTCCCCTATGAAAAACACAAAAAGAAACCAATCCTTAAGCTTAAACAATGATTCTATGCATTTATTATTTACCATTCTTGTTCTCTTATACGTGGATCTTCTCGTATTTTTAAAATTTTCTCTTTTGAAAATGCTTCACATATTAATTCACATGTTTCTTTTGAACGTCGAAATGGACTAAAATAACAAATTAGTGTTTCATTTATTCCAATAAGTTTTTTT